GGTACCCTTTTTCGATGACGGAGAGTACCCAGTGGTCTGACGTTATTCGCTGCCAGGCAGCCAGGTAGGGAGACAGGCGGGTAGGGGTGGAACGACAGGAGTCAAAGGCTATCCTTGGGAGCTTTTGGATTCTTAGCCCTAGGCTGAGTGGCGGATGAGAGTTTTGGTTTGTACCCGTAAGGGCGAGAAGACACGGTGGGTGAGCGTTGCCACTGTGTTTTTGAGAATGACTTAAGAGAAGATCTGCGAGACCATGGCTTGTTCCGGGATTTTGCTTTGGATAGTTTAGGAGCCAACATGACTCCTAAAGTCTGTGACGTCTTTCTGCTTTTATCTAGGTCTTGCAGGACCGTATCAGTCGTGGCACTGAAGAGGCCCTCACCCTCGAATGGGAGGTCTTCAATGAGAGTCCTGGTGTCCTGTGGTAAGGCAGTAGAATGCAACCAGGCATGTCGTTGGAGGGTAGCTGCTGAAGTCAGCCTTTTGGCGGCCACATCCAGTGTGTGTTTAGCTGCATTGAGCTGATGTCTGGCCAAAAGCATTCCCTCCTTTTGAATTCTGCGAGCCTGACAGAGTCCTCAGGGAGGGTTGCAATAAACTCGGACATCTGCTCCCAGAGAGCAAACTGATATCTGCCCATACATGCAGTATAGTTTGAAGTCTTGATGCCAAGTGCTCCAGCTGAATAAAATTTTCTTCCAAACAAATCAATTTTTCTCCCTTCTTTCTTGGGAGAGGTGGAATGACTGTGTCTGCCTTTGGAAGAAGAGGTGACTACAACGGAATTAGGTTTAGGGTGGGTGAATAAAAACTCAGCACCTTGCTCCTGCACCTTATACATATGATCTACTGTCCGGCTCGAGGCAGGGGTAGATGCCAGGTAAGACCATGGGATTTTAGCCGCCTGAAGCAGGACCGACATCATCAGTAAGGCTATTGGGGTAGAGGTGCCCATCTGTATGATATCGAACACAGAGTCCATTACGGTAGGCAGGGGTTGCACCTTAGACAGGGTCAACGTGTTTGCCATCCGTTTGATAAAGTCCCCATGAGATTTGAGATCCTCTGACAGAGAAATCGGAAGATCATCGCCCACTTGTTGAGGTGGCGAGGGTTCCATCTGAGGATTGGGGTTTTCATCTCCTGATTGGGAGGCGGTGTCAGAAGAGACGGCATGTTCAGACAGTTCAGAAAATGAAATAGGCAACATCGGTGTTGATGGGACCGGGTCCAATGGCCCTTTAAACTTGGGAACTATCGGAGGTGGTGGTTTGGAAGGTTTGCCCGTCGGTCTCGATGGCTGAAGCCGCATAAACTCCAGCATCGGTGGAGGATCTCGATACTGAGAGAGCCAGGAGGAGGTAGACTGACGGTCCCAGTCCACGAGCTGGGGTGGGAACCATGGCATGCCACTCGAGAATGGATAGGCCCCATACTGGTATTGCCATTGCCACTGATCCCAGGGGGGTGGCGGCGGGTGGATCGGTGCCGATGGCCATTCTTGATCATTGGGTTGGAACGGTGAAGGATGAACAAAGGTGTCAGCTCCACGGTTGGAGTGTAGGCTTTCGACACTGGAAGACCGGGAGATTTGCGTCAAGTCCATACCGTGCTCAGAGTCAGTGAACTGGATGGGACGCAGTGAAGGCGACCGCAGTACACCTTGTGGCTGCTCTCGGCTCGAAGAGTCAAGTGAAGCAGCCCCCACAAGATTCGATTCTGTGGCCCTCCGAGGGGTCAGCGGAGTTTGCACAGGGGGAGTTTTCTTATGCCTTTTGTGCTTGACTGGCTGATCGTCCTTTCCTTCCCTGCATTTTTGGAGGGAGTATGGGCTAAGGTCTGAGATGTCTGGGCTGAGCGTTTCAGCATTGGGCGGTCGACATTTGAGTTAGTCAGTATCGGGGACAATGCACGTAAAGTGTCCTATAAAGACATCGGTGAGAGCGCCAACTCCAAAAGCGCAATGCGAAGTCTAGTAGCTCTGTTCTTTCTCATCTGCTTCAAGAACTTCACGCAATGTGCACAAGAGTCCACTCGGTGCGATTCCCCAAGGCACAGAAGACAAAATGAGTGTCCGTCCGGGGGAGCGATTTTACTACCGCACTTGAGGCACCGTTTAAAGAAACGCCACCTCTTGAGAGAGAGAGAGGAGAGATTGGATTTATACCCCGCCCTTCACTTGGAGTCTCAGAGCGGCTTACAAACTCCTTTCCCTTCCCCTCCCCACAACAGACACCCTGTGAGGTGGGTGGGGCTGAGAGAACTCTGACACAAACTGCTCTTTTTCAAGGACAGCTGTGCCAGAGCTTGTGACTGACCCAAGGTCACATCAGCAGGTGCAAGTGGAGGAGTGGGGAATCAAACCCGGTTCTCCCAGATTAGAGTCCACACACTTAACCACTACACCAAACTGGCTCTCAAACTGGGATGTCCCTCATAGCACATGCAGTCTGTGAAAAAGAAACCGAACGATGAAGTCCGAAAAAAACAATGAATCTGTAGTAACAATGTCCTTTCACTTAATAAAAAACAAGAAAGAAGGCGAAGAACTGGCAGGATTGTCATGCCCCTCCTTTGGTCATGCGCAGTGGGGCTGGTGCGTGACTGGGAGCGGGCACGAAAATCCCTTTTGCTTTTCAAGAGGAACCGATCGAGGTCGGCAAAGGCGCACTATATCCCAGAGGTGTGATGCACAGAGACCACGAAGAAGATGTCTCTGAGAGATTTCATCCACAAAGTGCTTAGTAAAATGATCATAGTGGGCTGTAGTCCACCTCCTCCTGTAGGCTGGAACCCTATAGTCCCTGACCACCCAACTGGAGGCACAGTTGGGAGAGAGATTAACTCCTTCCCCCTACCACAGACAGTGCGATACATGTCAGGTTCAGCCCTCTCACATAGAATTAAAAGCTGAATTGCTGCTGTTTTGCCTAGCATTTAAAAGCAAGATATTACAGCCAAATGTGATATTGATATGGTAAATGCATCACCTTGGCCGGAAGAAGAAATGTCTTCTATCTGCTGGGGTGGTGTTCTTTCACCAACAAAATTCTCCCTACACTATACCCATATCTTTGTTCCATTTAGATGTAGAAGATTTCTAATTACCCACCTCAATTACTGACCTACTTTACACACCAGTCTCACTGATTACTATGTCAAGAGATGGAAAAAAATATTCTCAAAAATGGAACAAATTGATGGACATTCTATATTTTCGTTTACTCATTCTACATTTTCTGGGATATGGAACTTGTTTTTATGTTGTCCAACGAAGCCACTGCTGGGCCCCAAAGTTAGCCTGAAATCCTACATTTTAAGATAATTTTTTGCCTGAGTCTGCTGTTACTACATTCCCACAGGCCACAGAGCACATGCTGAAAACTGCATCAGGATAAGGTGATTTTTTTTTTTGAGAGGCAATAGTTTAGAATTAACTTCTTTAATATGTATTCAAGTATTTGCATATTCCTGTTAAATACTCTTGGGAGACAATAATCACTTTATATTGCTTTGCATTTATAAGCATTATAGGAGTCCCATGCAACCTGAATATTATGGATATAATTCCTTATTTCCATGACAATGTTCTACCTACAATACTTGAAATATAAGCCTTTTTGAGAACTGAAACAAAACTGAAAATTAATCTGCACTGTCCGTAGTATGGCAACTATTTTTTTCTGACTTCTTTATAAGGTCTCTGGATTTCAACATCATCCATGCCTTTGCAAAATTTAACTCCCCACCACAATATTTAATGAGGTCTTTAACAGCATTCTACATATGGAATCCAGTCATTGCCATCTCCTTGCTGCTGCTTCTTTTCCTATTGATAACACGGGATGGGCATGAACCTCATCACGAACGTAATTTCCTGATAAACATTGTTGGTTCATGGTTCGCGAACCAGAGATTCATGCCCATCCCTATCCATGACCACTGCATGACCCTCCACATGGTTTTGGGGGTTCATGGGGTTTGTGTTGTGAAGAGGGGGGGAGCAAGAGGGATCACTGAAATCGCTTGCATCCATTTCATCTTAACAGCAGGGCACCAGCAATCCCTTTAGCTCCCCCCCTCCCGCTTCCAAGCATTCCATTTAAATTGTTTTTGCAAGCTCTTTCCCCCCTTCCATTCTTCTGGCCTTGGGGAGCCGCCTCCAACAGAAAGGAGGTCTTCCCCCAAACCTCATGAACTGAACCAATTCAGTAAATCAGGAGGTTCGTGAAGGTTCATGGTTTGTGTGACCTCACAAACCAGGATGAACCTCCATTTTCCTGATTCGAGCCCATCCCTGTTGATAACATAAGAGTATTTTATTAAGTAAAAATTCATTATACTCTTCTTCTCTGCATTGTCACAATGGGTTGGATCTAGTGGTTCATCAGCAAAAGGATCTTTCCTGCATTCTCTCAGCCACGGTCCTTTCTAACTTAGGAAAGTTTACTCCCAGGATTGTGGGACTGGTATAGACTAATGGTCATGCCAGTCAGGAGGCTGCAGTGGGGAGGAAGGGGACAAAATTGCCTTCCACTGTTTGGTGGAAGGAGGAGGAAAAGACAATTTCATAACCCTGGGAATAAATTTTTCTGGACTGGAAAGGACTGTGAGGGAGAGGAGAATGTGGGAAACAGCCCAACAAGCCAAAGAGATAGATGACATTTTCATCCAACATTATATAGTTAGTGGAAGCTAGATACCCAGTTCAAAAGACTAAGTACCTGATGTATTAGATTCTTACTGTCATGAATACAAAACATTCAAAATAGGCATCTACATATGTAGTTGTACAACTGATTTAAAAACATTTAGTTTTAAAATGCTTCATTGACTTTAAGTGGAAATTATATAGTGACTTCCTTCCTGCTTCTTCCCACATGCTATTTGCAACATTAAAAAGTTCAACAAGTGAACATGTGAAAAGGGGAAAAAAAGGAGAAGAATATCAAAACTAGTTTCAGAAATTATATAAAGATACCCTTAAATCTAGAACTTACTTCTGTCTCCATGGAATTTCCTGCAGGTTTTTACAGCAACAAAGATATCTGTTTTCTTCACAGGATCCCCCTAAAATTAAAAACCATCAACGTCTTACTTCTATTCAGGTTTATATCACACAAACAAGTCTTTTTTTTTTTAAAGGAGGACTTCAAAATACGGTTCTATATACATTTAAAAAGTAGTAAGATAGTATAGCAAGATTTTTTTTCTTTTCAAATTCAGCAACTTAAACAAAATCAGTGTTGCCTAGCACCATAATTTAACTAAAATTTGGATCAGAATTCTGGTTGAAGCCAGATGCAACTGATTAAGGCAGCTAATGAACAAGAACAATTGCAAATTATAGCAATAGGAGTATTTAGGGTCTGATGCAGCTAAAGTAAGTGTCAAGCTCCACTGATTTCAACAGCAGAGATGCCAGCATGTGCTACAGTCTTGCACTAAAGTCATGGAGACTGAGAAGTACTTCTATTCTTGATTGGCACACACCCTTGTTTCAGAATGCATTTTATATATTACTATGTAGTGAATCAGTTTCTATCACGGTGCATCATAAAGCTTTAAAAAAGCTAGGAATCAGGTTCTTAACAGGGATTTAAGTGTGTGCACACACACACACAGAGCATTCTTTTGGCTCAAGCAACACACACATTTAACCCAGTTTCACAGCTTCATGTAGGCAATTCACATTTTATTCTGCAGTCTTAATTTAATAAAACAACCTGTGGTGGAGAAACAGACAGGAAATAATTACTAGAAGAGAGTTTTCTTCTGTAAACCACAATATGCATTCACAATATGAAAGTACTTTTTGCTACTAGAAAACATACCCTACCATTTTCTAAAAGAAGCAGAATAGGCTTATTTTGAAAACAATAAAAACTGAGCTCCATTACTTCAGGCATTTCCATTACTGGAGTCAGGGTGAAAGAAAAATGCCTGAAGCGAATGAGAGGGAGGAAGCAAAGTTGGGGAGGGTTCAGTTTCCCTTATCTGTGCCCATCTATGTATTTTAAATATCCTCTGACCACACACACACACTTTATATGTGAATGGAACATACTCATGAATAAATGAAGACAGCTGTCCCAACCATGTCTAGTCTGGCCAATACTACAGTAACCACAATAATACTACAATCTACATAAAAGTATAACCTTCACAGTCATTCCACACCTCAAAGAAAATCATTTCCCTATCACAGCCCACCTTAACTTATGCCTCCATTCGAAAACGCAAAAGTTCAGACTGTTTAAGCAATTAAACAAATTAAAAAGGTTTTGAATAGGATTGCTTACTTGTCTATGAATCTTAGAGGAAAAACAATATGGAAATGCTTACACATATTGGGAGGAAATTAGCGAACGTAGTGGCACAATGACTAGTCTTGGGAGAGTCAACATCTTCTGTGCAGAACTCAGGCACTGGGGTGAGATGTGGTCCATTGCCTTTTTCCCAGATATATAGTGCAATCTTTTAAAATATATGGTAAATATTCATTAGCACTGAAATATTTTCAAACTATGAAGCTACACCACTGCAACACAAGAAGTATATGCATTCAAAATGAAACAGAATAACTATGCTCAGAGAAGCTATATGCTGTACAAAAGAAATCCCCAATTCTGAGCTAAAGATGATTATAATTCCATCCATGCAGGCAGGTGGTATATTGTTAAACAGCTACTAGCTCTTCTCACTGCAAAGTTATTGGTGCATCTTCTCACATACTCCTAAATTTAGCTATTGTATATGACGCCTCATGAGACTGCACATATGTTCAGCGCCTGTGATTCATGCCCAAAAGGAATACAAGACAACACAAATTGAAAATAAGTTTAGTTAAGGCTGACAGGAACAGATGGCTGGGGAAGGTTAGTAAACGTGGATGCAGCTGCATAAACACAACATAAACTCTTTCCAGTAGCTGCTTTTACTACTTGAACAACAACTAGTTCTGAATAAATGGGGAAAAGTCAACAAACAGTAAAAAACATTTAGAAGTATATCTATTTTGTCTATTGCAGAAGTATGCTTCAATGCAGGCATCCCAAACATGGCGCTAGGGTTGCCAGCTCTGGGTTGGGAAATACCTGGAGATTTGGGGGGTGGAGCCTGGGGAGCAGAGGGATCTGGGGAGGGGAGGGACTTCAATGGGGTATAATGCCACTGAGCCCCCCCCTTCCAGAGCAGCCATTTTCTCCAGGTGGACTGGAAATCAGCTGTAATCCCAGGAGATCACCAGCCACCACCTGGAGCCTGGCAACCCTACCTGGCACCCGTGGACACCATGGTGTCTGCTGACGCCTTTCCTGAAACCTGCCAAGAGTTTTTAGAAAGTGGGTGGAGCCAGACGGGGCTTTTGCCTAGCAGGGCTTCCACTGGCTGTGCAGTTTTAACAATGTTGCTTTGGTGGCAACTGCCACCAGATCACAAAGGTCTTCACTTAACAACCATATATTCATTTAAAAGGCATCCTGGTTAAACAGAGCTTCTGCCTTGAAGTGTTGAAGACTGAATATTAGAGTTAATGCATAAACTCACTCCCTGAGATTTCGTGTTTGGCTCACCCCCATGCCAGACATTTTGTGCTTTCACCCACCACCCTGTGTCAGAATTCCAAAGGTGCCCATAAGCTCAAAAAAGGCTGCAACCCCCTGCTTGAATAAAAACAATCCACAAAATCTTATGAAATAAGGTTGCAAATCCGTTCTACCAGTGGAACATTTTAAGGTCTGAATAGCTGCTTGATTGGGGGGGGGGTTTTACTGCCAAATGGTGCTGCCCCATAGATGCCCCTAGATCACGTTCACTCTTTTCAACTGTGGAAAGCACTGTAATGTTTCTGAATCTTATGGCTTTTTAAGAGATGGAAATAAAGGGAGTACGGCATTTTAGGACTCCTACTGAAGACCAAGTATTAAACAAAACCCTGGAAAGATTAATTGCATTGAAAACAACAGTAGACTCAGCATGTGTCATGAAAATGAAGACCTGATACACTTGAAAGATGGGTTGTAACAAAATACAGTAAAAGTGAATTGTATTCCATCTGGAAAGGCACAGCAGCATACTGAATGTCATTAAGCGAGACAAGAATGAAACAATGACCTGAGGCATCCATATTTTTTTTTTACTTCACAGAAGTAAGTGGCAATTCCTCTTCACTTTCAATAGTGCCACTGCCTAGTGTCACCAGAATTGGAATAAAAGATGGTAACCTTTAACAGGATGTATCATTACTAGTAAATACAGCTTCCACTGTGCAAGCACAGACAGACTCACAGCTGCCACTGGGAGACCTCTCCCCTGCCCCAGTTCTGTTTGAAAGAAGAAGAACTAGATATCTGTGGGTCAGCACGTTTTCAAAAAATAAACATTCCTGATTAACACTACAAGTATCCCTTCCATCATGATGAGCTTGCTGAAACCAGAATTACCAGGGTCCAAGATCCATCTCATTTTTACTAACTATTTTGAAGCAGAATTCATGCCCCAATTTTTGCAGGTGAAAAAAAAGTTAAAATATTAGACAATGTTTTTAGTCCTCAATGTGTGAGAGAGGTTAAAAAAAAGTTAAAATTTTAGACAATGTTTTTAGTCCTCAATGTGTCTTTGTTTAAGTAGAGTTGCTTCTAGCTATCGTATAGTTAGCTCGACAATTATGTTACCACCATTGATGAATGAGAGTGAATCTCTCCTGCTCAATTTGTTTTAGCATGCAATTCAGTTTCAATCAGTGTAGTGAAATAAAGGTGAAGCTCCTGAGCTGATAGGAATGGAGTCTCGACTCAAGCACTAACACCACTAAATGTCTTTTCTAAATATATCCCCAACAATGCAGTGAACACTGAGCTCATATGGATGCTCATGAACACACCAGGGTTCCAGCAGGGCTTCAACACTCTGCAGGAGAGTACAGAATCAGTTTGCTGATCACAAACGGTAGAGAACATTTGTTTTATGCACTGCATTTCATTATACCTTTCATTCATAAATGAAAGATGTAAGCATCTGCCTTCCAATGTAGTTATTAAGTATGCACTCCAATACTATATCATATTGTTTATGTGACAATGTGGATTCAGTTTTGAAAAGCTCATTAATAAGGTATATCCCCCAAAAGGTTATTGACTAGCATCCCGCAGAGGTGAGAACCCACAGAATATATAGCATTTATGAACTCTCCATCTGATCTCAGTAACTATTTTTCAGATGACTGTGTCTTACCATTCTTGCAATGTTACATGTGGATGAACTTAAAATATTCAGTATTTATGGATTCACCTTTTCACATTAGTGAACTGAATTTCAGATTAATTAAAAATAATATTGGTTATATAGGTTTCTTAGGGCTCAGCTACATAAAGAGAAGAGACTGGATTTATACCCCGCCCTTCACCACCCAAAGGAGTCTCAGAGTGGCTTACAATCTCCTTTCCCTTCCCGTCCCCACAACACACACCCTGTAAGGTAGGTGGGGCTGAGAGAGATCTTTTGAGAACTGCCCTTGAGAGAACAGCTCTGAGAGAGCCCATGACTGACCCAAGGTCATACCAGCAGCTGCATGTGGAGGAGTGGGGAATCAAACCTGGTTCTCCCAGATTAGAGTCCACACTTCTAACCACTACACCTAACTGGCTCTAAAATGCAGAGAGTTCCATGAACACAGCTTCTAGAACTTCTCTGTCTCTAAAAATCAGGCATTTGGGACCTTGGATTTGGATCAAGACCTGGAGCAAGAAAAGATTAGACTCTCCCCCCATGCCATTTTCTCAGCCCCTGTAACACCCTGGGAGTTATTTGCCCTACAGGGCAATTGTAGAGCTATGGACACCAGTACACGGAAGATCCCCCAATGGAACAAATATGAGCTTCTTGGAACTGCTTCAGATCAAGGAAACAGCATGCAGAGAAAGCTTGAACACCCCTCCCTTCATGCTACAGCCCACTCTGAATGAGGCATTAATGCAACTGATTTCTTTAGACAGGGAAAAAATGCTGGGAGCTGTGTTCACATTCAGCCTTTAGATTACTGTTCACACACTTGAACGAGTATCATCCTGATTTCTACTGGACTTTTGGTATGGACTGGTGTACTACTTAATGAAGCTGCTATATACATTATGCATGTTCACATTTCTTTACGTCTTACTGAAAGTTGAAAAGGAAAAGCCACAATGAGGTGCACAGAACCTCTCAGCTAGTTCAACCCATTCAAGAAAGCTTTGGCCTTGCTTTTTCTCAAACAACTTCCTTCCAGTCCATGGGGCAACTCTTTTTGAATTGGAGCAGAATTTAAAAATAGTCTGCAGTATAACACGTTTTAGTTGGTAAATGGGGGAAAAAAGGGATGGTGAGGAGAAGCCACTGCATTGCTTGAGGCTAAGTGGTTCTTAGGATCCTGCCACAGATTTCAAGCATTTTAATAAGTGTTAATAACAGAATCTTAATTTTTTTTAATTCTACACAAACAGTAACAAAAGAAAGAAGGATAAAAGTATACATAATATAATTTGCCTCCTATGTTGCAGAGCAAGGTTAGGTAATAACAAATGGCACCACAGAAACATAGCAGGACTTACCTCATATTTCAAATCTATGGTAAAATCTGACTTTAAAGGTTCATTTTTCAGCCTCTTCGCAAGCCTGAGGAGTAAAGATAATAAAAAAATAAAGATTTCCTATAGTAACAGCATTCTAAATGGCAGAAAATAGAGGGCTTTTTAAATCAACTAGCAAAACCATTATCTAGCACATAAAGGATTTGCAGTCATAGCCTAGAAGGTAAGGTAGAATTTAAATGTAAGCTTCAGGATTTTACAGTATTATTCTTATTTATAAAACTGCTGCATGCCATGAGTACTATGAATGTGATTCTGAAACTGTGTTTTTTCTCCAGTTCTACTTTTAAATATTCATTCAGTTACTGCCAAAAAATTACAGCAGACAGGTTTTATGAAGGATGCTTGAACACCTGCCATTTCAGCTCATATCCTGTTTGCCAGCTGCAAACAGAAAGCTGATTTTTGAGGAACAGTTCAGCCATCAACCTGTTAATAGTTGTTTGGCAAGGTTGCTTCATGCTTCAGGAAAACCTGATGTTGAAACTGACTAGACTTTTTTTGAAAGTGACAAGCAGCTGCAAGCCGTTTTCCATATCTGCACACTAGGGGATTCTCTGTTGTGTTATCGGTCACTGTGAAAAATGGGAAGAGTCACACAATCTCATAATATGGGGGGACATGCTGAGTGTACAGAATGCACAGTAGAACCCACTGACACTGCAAGATGAAATCGTTGGTAGTGTGTGTGTATATGTGTGCACGCTGCAACTCCACCACACTTTGCCCAGGGCTGCAATTTGTATGGGGAGGAGTCCTCTAGCAGAAGCTCTGGAGAGCTTTTTTTAGCCTTGTGCAACTAAATTGAAAAAAAATAGGGGTATTTTGGGCAATGCCCAAGCGCAGCTGCATAGTAATGCTCATTTCCTGGCCTTCCTTGCAAATTCCGGAAGCCCTGTTTTCCATATCTGCACACTAGGGGATTCGCTGTTGTGTTATCGGTCACTGTGAAAAATGGGAGTCACAAAATCTTAGAATATAGGGGAACATGTAGAGTGTACAGAATGCACGGTAGAACCCACTGACAGTGGCATTGCAAGCTGTGATTGTTGGCTCTGTGTGTGTGTGTGCCTGTGCAAAGTCAGCTGCAACTTCACGGTTTGCATAGGGCTGCAATTTGTATGGGGGAGGAGCCCTCTGGCAGAAGCTCTAGAGAGTTTTCTTTTAGTCTTGTGCCATTAAATTAAAAAAAATGGGGGGGGGGGTTTGCCGATGCCCAATCATGGCTGCATAGTAATGCTAATTTCCTGGCCTTCCTTGCAAATTTGTGTGGCTTTCTCTTTGTGATTCTCTAATTTGATCCTACACATTGGTGCTGATCTTTGCAGTTTTTTTATAGCCTGTCCTGTGCTTTCAAGTCAATACCAATAGGGAACTAAACCTCGTACAGCTCCTTTTAAACTCCTCCTCCTGTTGTTTTAATTTTTTTATTCAGCAATCAGAGACTAGCAGTAGTCCCATATCACTAGACTCATGCCACTAGTAAAAAAAATTAAAAATTTAAACACAAGGGGAAACAGGAGTACTTATTTTCAGCTTAGCTACCATGAGATGTCCTGCCAACCTAGCAGTTCGAAAGCAAGAAATTGCAAGTAGATAAATAGGTACCACTTCAGTGGGAAGGTAACAGCGTTCTGTGTGCCTTTTTTAGTCATGTCAGCCACATGACCACGGAAACATCTTCGGACAGTGCTGGCTCTTCAGCTTGGAAACGGAGATGAGCACCGTTCCCTAGAGTCAGATTTGACTAGCTTTCAAGCAAGGGAAATCTTTACCTTTACATATTGGAACTGGGCTTATATTACAGTTTTTATATAGTGTGTAAATGAAAATGGTTTTTCGTTAAGGCTGAAGATTTCCCATAATTCCTGTTTTCCTAGCTGAATAATTAGTAATTACAGGTTTTGTAGGATAAATTTTACTAAATAATTTTAACAGTTGGTAACTGCCTTTTAAACACTGTGTAGAAGTTACTTCAATCTTTGCTGGGAATGATTGAAGGTCAAAGAAGACGGGGACGGCAAAGGATGAGATGGTTAGACAGTGTCATCGATGCAACGAACATGAAACTGAGCTAACTTCAGAGGACGGCGGAAGACAGGAGGGCCTGGCGGGAGATGATCCATGGGGTCGCGAAGAGTCGGACTCGACTGTGCGACTGAACAACAACAAGAAGTTACTTGGTTTAATGCCCTTTTATTTTATGGATGTTGGTGGTTGCTTGACATCTCTTAGCTCGGGATGTATACTGAGTCTGTAATGGCCTTTGGCTAATAAATGACTATTGATCAATGCAGAATGACAAAGAAAACCCAATGGACATGCACAGTGAAAGCGCGGGAAAACGCATGTGCATAATAGGCCTGAGTTACACTCCCCTCATCCCTGCTGCATGTCTGCTTCTGCTCAGCAAGAAATAGTTTAAATAGACAATTTTTATCAATCATAGGTCATATGTAATTTATAAATAAATACTGTGTCTTAATAAAATTCTATAATTCAGTGTTCATCTAAGCAGTCCTTACTGATGCTAGAGTCTGCCTATCAGTTTGAATCAGCAGCATTTCTGTGTATGCACAGTTCTGCAAAACCCTAATGACCTGTTTGGCAGCCATTCAAGGGTCTTCGGCATGAATGAAAAGGCTGGGTGATTAGCTCATATCTGATTGGCATCTTCAAACACAGTAAGGCTAACTGTCTAATATGTTCATGGTGCAATCTGCAACATCCCTCATTCTGCAATGCATTATCCTGTCTTTTTCTGTTCTTTGAACAATTTTTCTTTATCATCTCTTTATCTACTAGTCACTATGTTCCAATCTACCTCTTTGCACTTTCCACTCCTTTATCTATTTTCTTCGATCCTTTGCCGACTGTGCAATACTTCTGTGGTTCTCAGAACTCTTCCTTTAGAAGGCTAAGCAGAACTGGTTCACTGCCCAAGTAACCCAAAGTAGTTTCTTGGCAAACTATCAGTTTGAATCAGCAGCATTTCTGTGTATGCACAGTTCTGCAAAACCCCAATGACCTGTTTGGCCAGCATTCAAGGGTCTTCGGCAAGAATGAAAAGACTGGGTGATTAGCTCATATCTGATTGGAATCTTCAAACACAGTAAAGCTAACTGTCTAATATGTTCATGGTGCAATCTGCAACATCCCTCATTTTGCGATGCATTATCCTGTCTTCTTCTGTTCTTTGAACAATTTTTCTTTATTATCTCTTTATCCACTGGTCACTATATTCCAATCTACCTCTTTGCACTTCCCACTCCTTTATCTATTTTCTTCGATCCTTTGCCGACTGTGCAATACTTCTGTGGTTCTCAGAACTCTTCCTTTAGAAGGCTAAGCAGAACTGGTTCACTGCCCAAGTAACCCAAAGTAGTTTCTTGGCAAACTAAATCAGCAGGAGCATCACAGAGAACTATCGTGCCTTGCATCTTCTGTCATTTCCCAGCCCACCATGCTCAAGTGGTCTGCAGAGACACACTCCATCTCTCATGCAAATGCCACAAGAAACTTGCAAGAATGCATGACAGCGGGTCCCCCCAATGGCAGGGAGACCACACCTCCTCCTGTGCTACGCTCTCACTGTTTGTGGTAGGATAATGAGCAGAGCCAGCCCCGGGGCTAGGAGTGGCAGCTCAAGTGTAGTACTCTCTGGAAAAGATCATTGCAGTACTAACTACTTCAGAGAAGTCACTAACTGCCAACAGAAGGAGGGCCCATAAGACATCCTTGCTGCAATCACTCAATAGTTATCAATGGTCTGAGCTGAGTGACATATCAGCCTTTGGGGTTCTGTTGTGTATTGCCTGTGCAATACCATCTCATTCCTTCTCTAGTGCAAAAAAGTTGAAAATACTTCTGTGGTTCTCAGAACTCTTCCTTTAGAAGGCTAAGCGGAACAAGTAACCCAAAGTAGTTTCTTGGCAAACCAAATCAGCAGGAGCATCACAGAGAACTATCGTGCCTTGCATCTTCTGTCATTTCCCAGCCCACCATGCTCAAGTGGTCTGCAGAGACACACTCCATCTCTCATGCAAATGCCACAAGAAACTTGCAAGAATGCATGACAGCGGGTCCCCCCAATGGCAGGGAGACCACACCTCCTCCTGTGCTACGCTCTCACTGTTTGTGGTAGGATAATGAGCAGAGCCAGCCCCGGGGCTAGGAGTGGCAGCTCAAGTGTAGTACTCTCTGGAAAAGATCATTGCAGTACTAACTACTTCAGAGAAGTCACTAACTGCCAACAGAAGGAGGGCCCATAAGACATCCTTGCTGCAATCACTCAATAGTTATCAATGGTCTGAGCTGAGTGACATATCAGCCTTTGGGGTTCTGTTGTGTATTGATGCAATTCTGATTTTTGTTAGCTGCCTTGAACATGTTAATGGAAAATGAGCTACAACTCTACAACACACTTGTCTATATGTCCAATATATAATAACCATGAACAGAAGAATTATCAATTAAAAACTTACTCTGCCATTCTAAGCCGAGTTAAGTCCATTGATTAATTAATTTAGAAGGGTGTAACTCTGTTTAGGGAGCTGTGGTGGCTCAAGTGGCATCTCTCATGCAAATGCCACAAGAAACTTGCAAGAATGCATGACAGCGGGTCCCCCCAATGGCAGGGAGACCACACCTCCTCCTGTGCTATGCTCTCACTGTTTGTGGTAGGATAATGAGCAGAGCTAGCCCCGGGGCTAGGAGTGGCAGCTCAAGTGTAGTTCCGTTAAAGATCATTGCAGTACTAACTACTTCAGAGAAGTCACTAACTGCCAACAGACGGAGGGCCCAAGGAAAGCTCTCCATAAGACATCCTTGCTGTAATCATTCAATAGTTACCAATTGCCTGAGCTGAGTGAGGTATCAGCCTTTGGGGTTCTGTTGTGTATTGATGCAATTCTGATTTTTGTTAGCTGCCTTGAACATGTTAATGGAAAATGAGCTACAACTCTTCAACACACTTGTCTATATGTCCAATATATAATACCCATGAACAGAAGAATTATCAATTAAAAACTTACTCTGCCATTCTAAGCAGAGTTAAGTCCATTGATTCTTTAATTTAGAAGGGTGTAACTCTGTTTAAGATGGGCCATACAGGAGACACTCTGGACTTCCATGAATTTGTCTGCCATTGTATTTGAATTTGTTTTAATCTGGTTTTAAATTGTATGTTTTAACATTGTTATTATGATATTGCTTCTTGTGACAGTGTTGTGATATAACTGTTGTGGCCGCCCTGAGTCTCCTGAAGCAAGTAATTGCTACCCAGGACATATGTTCAGATTATAAAACAGGGGCAAATATTTAGCAATGAATTGGTACTATAAGAAATATTCATTATTTTCATATTATCAGTATTTTCAGTCAACAAAAGGGAAGGAAGACAAGAAGTTCTTTATATTTAGAATTTCCCTGCCCTGAGCCCGCTGTCAGGGGAAAGCAGTATATAAATAAAATTTTCAGTCAACAAAAGGGAAGGAAAACAAGAAGTTCTTTATATTTAGAATTTCCAGCATATTCCAAAAGATATTTTGCTTCTAGATATGCAAAGACTTCACTGATTCGTATTCAACTATTTATTGAGTTTTTTAAAATTTCTCCCATCTGTAATATTAAAATATTCTCCACTTATGCAGAGATTATACAAAACTTTAAAATGAATGCAGATGTAACCTAAATTTGATTGAATTCTAATATATATGCAAATATCTATTTCTAATATGCACATTTATATAGTTTTAATTGCTTATTAATGTGCCTTATTATAATTCCCTATTATTATACTGTGAACAATAATAAGTGCTTATGGTTACTTAACTTTGGATAAAATCTCAGTTGCAATCAAATAATTCATCTGCATATGTACCCACAGAAAGAAATATTTAATACCTAATAGTAAGTTTTACCTTTCCAAAGCCACTTTACAAATATTAGTGCTTAGTAAACCAATTTACACAAAAAAAAATCCACACACAAAGCTGAATTCTTACTTATTTACAAGTGGTATACTGAGTGCCCAGCCAGCAGAAAAATCTGGAAATTTAAAAATGGTAGGATTTTCAGCAAAGGCATAATGGTGAATAATTGTAGATTCATCATCATGTAATGCTTTGCCTAGAAAAAGTTCCTGTGAGAGAAGAAAAGCACAGTATTTACAATTTTAACAAAGCTACAGCATCAAACGTCATAACCCAGACATACATTTTTTCAGAGAAATATCACTGACCATTTTATTTATTACAAAATGTATATCCCAACTTTCTGCCTGATCAATTAAAACATAAAGCAGTGGGGGGGGGCATTTTGGAAATACCAGACAAGACAAAAAAAGTAGAAGGGGAACAAAAAACTTAACCCAATTAATATGAATTAAGAACCTAAAAGGTTAAATACATACAAATAGGAAGGCCTGTTCTTAAAATCAATAGATATAGAGCATTAACATACAAATAACACAGGTTATCAAAAATACAAGCATGTACTACAAATTATTTTTAAAAAGTTATAGGCCCAAATGTAGCCTCAACAAGAATTAAAATCATACAGTATTCACTGGCCTTCTTCAGTGGTCAAGCATAAATAATACACATAGGCTCTGTGTTGCAATAATAAAACAAACTATTAATCAATATGACAAAGTGAAAATTATATTATAATAATTATTAGTGGCTCAAGGCTAAGGAGTACAATAGAGGCCTCATATGTTATCGCTTTGTGTCCTAATGAGGTACATACACCTTAGGTGGTACTGCAATAATATGCCTTCCTATTTTGGTCCAAAAGATGCAATTTCAAATGCAATCTAGAGGTTGTATGTTATAATGGTGTATTGTGCACTACACACCATTATGACACACGAGTTCTACAAACCAAAAATCCATTTTATCAAGAGTGAAGTGGTGAATTGAAAAGCTATTCTATGGCTTGACACTTTTTTCTACACAATAATTTCACTTCAATAATACATCACAAATTGTCTATTGAATAACTGTGAATAAAGAAGTATGATCTAGTCGGGTGCTTGCCATGTAAATGACATGAATATTAGCTCAAATAAGAATAATTTCATGGCCAAAGGTGATCAAAATATCAATACCAATATTTTTAAAAAGCAAAAATAAAAATAAAAAGCAGCAAAGGAACTACATGATACACCTAACTAATTAATACCTTGGTACTAATTCACAGAAAGAAGCAAGTACATTACTAGAAGGAAGCTTTATTTTTCCTGGAGTTATAAGAACCACCAGTAACTATTACAACAAAGTTGATAACAAATTGTAATGGTCAAAACTAACTTTTGTTCATGTTAGAAGTGTAGTATCAAACAGAGCTACACCCTTCTACAGAAGTAAACAGGCTTAGAAGGGTAACTCTTCTTAAGATTTCACATGTAAGGTGAGAGAATGGGAAGAAAATTGGAAGGACAAATGGAAACAAATCAACCCAGGGAATAAAAGCTGATTTAGATGACTCAAGAGAAAGGATTAAACTGCCTCCCTCATGCCATTTCCCCCATCAATTTATTATATTAGCTTTTTAAGTAAAAAAACAAAATACTGAGTGATCTAACTACGGATCTTCTGCATCTCAGTTGTTTCTACAGCCTCATTCCCACAAAATATACTTCAAACGTAATTGACCAATTAATATTTTTCACCTTAGATTTGTCATATCTTCTAAGTACTTCCAGCAGCCTTACAATATGTATTCTTGTATCTTCTTCACAGAAAAAAATCCATGAGGTATTTCTGCTGTATGAAGCAGAAAAGCTGATGGAAGAAAGAGTCTGAGTTATAGTTTAGAAAGGAATTACGTATTTAAGATGCAGGAATAAAGGATTTTTAAAATATACCAATTGAAAGGCTTATTTATGTAACCAGAAGGAACATGGAAAACATAATGCTTCTTACTGTGTGGCCAAGTAGTCATCAGACTCTCACATGATGTGGCCAGATTGGTTATTAGCCCAGGTACAGAAAGTGTTACTCTCTTGAGTAACTAAAAACAAACGTGGCAACCTAATGGAGTGATCAGGACATCCTCTCGGCTCCATGGGAAGGTATCATTGCTAACAAATGTACTTTGCAGCCAAGGCCAATTTCTTGTTATATGAACTGCTCCTAACTATTGCTTTGTCTTTTACAAGAAAATACCAAAGACTGTGTATTTTCATGCAATGTCTTTTTCTATTTCCTTGTAGGATACAGTCTTAAAAACAATCGATGGACCCAAAGACATCACAACAGCAATCACAGAATCATGTCACAGTACACACAATTCTAAAGGAAAATGTCTTTAGAAGAAAAGTGCACAAGTCCATCAAGGCCTTAGTTATCTGTTTAGAATAGACCCCTTACAACACAGACACAGGCTGAGTTCAGACTGGCAGTTTGCCCCGATATAAGCACGTGTGAGGAGCGTTTCACAAGCGGATTAAAGGGGCCATTCACACAGGAACATCTGTCTGGCATTCCCCACCTGTACTCAACCCGTCTTGTAGCACTTGCCTCCCAGGTTTAAAAGATACCTGGTAAAAGTGGTAGCAAATCCTGGAGAGCCCGTTTATCCCACTTCATTCCGCTTCCCAGAAGTCTGAGCACTAACCGCTAAAAGCTGGGAACAGCCCGCGTTAATAATAAAAGGAGAGCGGTGGCGCAGTGGGTAAATCCCTGCATAACTATTACATCTGAACTTGCCAAGCTTTGTCAGTTCTAGCCCCGTGCTGGTGTGAGCAGCCAAGCCTTGTCCCTAGCTTATCATCTACCCAGCGATTCGAAAGCTTCGGCAAGTAGATAAATTGGGGACCACCCATAAGGGGGTGGGCACTCCACTCCCCTTGGGAGGGGTTAGCTGCCAGTGTGACATCTGTGGTGCAGCAGAGATCAAAAGTGGAAAAATCTGTTTCGGCATTC